CATAATCAAACGAAGCAATGTCAATTCTGTCAATCCAAATTAATGACAGATCTTCCGTTTGTTTACAAGTTTTCAATTTTATTTTATTATCTTTAACTTTCGTTTGTATTTATTTTTAGTAATTTTAATTTAAATTTGGTTACTTAATTTTTAAAGTTTATTTTGAGTTACCTATTGTAGCAAAGAATTTTTGTGTTGTGCTAGTAACAAAACTAAACATAGTGAATTATTGTATTGTTCGTTGTGTACAAATCATGGAAAAATTACAAAAAGAATGATAGTAAGTTGTCAGAAAGCAAAAAATAATAGTATTTAACTTCTGCAAATATGTGTAATAAATATTATGTAATTATTTTATAACTGTTTTATCTTAAACAACAAATAAATATACGTATATCTAGAAAAAATTGTGCATCTTAGATCCTTATTTTCCAATAAATTTTAATTAGTAACGAAATAGCCCACAAGAGGCGCTAAAGGGTATGTATGTAAGGGGTGTTCATTCGAATTTGCCGCCAAAAGATGATTAGTATTGACCCCAGCCGCAAGGGGCCTAATGAACGAAATTTATACATTGAGTTGCCTATCTATTTCTACTATTATATTATTTATCTATGGCATTGTTGTTCGTGATCACAAGTGGACATTTTTTGGTTTTGTAGTTCCAGAAGTATATTTAAGTTTCTTGTAGAGATTTACTCTGTCGTTCTTTGGATCTAAAGTTCTTTTGCTTGATGGTCTGAATCGAATCTAACTTCGTTTCTTATTTTCATTGCATCTTTCATATTGATTTGTTAACTAGTCGACAATTTGTGAATGCTCATTGTTTTAGTAAGTATGTACGAATAACCAACTCGCAATTGATAATGTAATGAGTTCGAAGAATACCTGAACAATATTTTAAATTAACACAAGTAAAATGTTTAGTGCAATTTCAATCAATAAAAAAACCTCCAACTAAAACACAACCTAGCACAGGCTAAATCCATATGTATTATTAAATTGACAGGTATTCTACAAAGAAATATTTTTTGTATTTGTTTAAAAATGTGCTAAATTCCGTTAGATATTTTAATTGTCGTTGGTGTTTAATCGTATTTTTTGTAAGTGAATGTGATGATGTATTTACCATTATATGTAATTTATTATAATTGTTTACAACGACTTTTTATCGTCTTTTTTATTGACCAAATAATAGTCCTAGGTACCTTTTAGCTGAGTGTAGATGTTTAATCATATACAAGTATTTAATTTTTTATATTTTTAAATGTTTAAATATACATTTTTAAATAACTCTGTCTTGATTTATTCAGGAACCAACCCAAAATCCTTGAAATTGTATCACCCCTTCTTTTCTATCCCCTTGAAGCCCGATTTTTATTAAATTAAAAAAAAACAGGATTTTTGTGTAATTTATATATTTTAGTATATTCTTAAAAAAATCATTCAAATTAAATAATGCTGATCCTGAAGTATATCCTGCAGGCTGTGGTATTTTCAAGATACCAGCAGGAACATAGCGTAACAAAAAAATTAAATGAGAAATAAAAACTAGGTACCACTTCTTTGGAACGTTGCAAAACAATTTTTGTCGTGTTTGAGACAAAGTCTGACATTGCAAGATGAACATTTCCACTGTGTTCTGCTAACATTTGCTGTCTTGCTACAGTTGACACATGACAAATAATGCAACAGCTACGAGATATAGCTATAACAATACGTTCACAATTAAGATACCAGGCAGGGAAGATTAGAATAAAGGTGTCCCGATACAAGCTGCTGCTACCTGGTACACAGATGGCTCAAAAACATCGGAGGGTGTGGAAGCCGGCATAGTAGGGACAAATCATGTGATACATTTCACGGTAAAGGTCGATTCTGACACATCAGTCACGTCTCGTCACAGTCCTGGCGCCGAACCGAACAATCCGTCATACCAAATATTCTTTAATAGAAATATGGCGCCGTCATCAGGCGACGAACAGTTTCCCAGCTGTCAGATAATTAATAGTTCTGTGACCAAACAGGACCGGTTCGGAGCCGGGACTGATGTGCCTGAATCGACCTTAAGTCTATCTAAGGATGTGACAGTTTCTAGGCGGAAATAACTGCAATCGATCACTGCGTGCAAGAAATAGAAAGGCAGGAAAGAACGTTCTGTTCAGTTGCCATCTTCACAGATAGGCATCGCTTAAGGCAGTGGTTCCCAACCTTTTTCCCTCGAGGACCACAAGATCTATAAGAAAACATCTGCGGACCACATGATTTTATAACTAGGTAAATTAAATTGGGAACTAGGGAAATATATTTTAAATCCTTTAATATACATTGTATTAAGAGTAAGTAATTAGAAAAAAAAACATAGTTATAGTCTTAATATAGTTATAGAAACATTATAAATCTATTGTAAAACGCTTACAAAATATGACACTAAGTCTCTGTGACTTCCTTGGTTTTGCATTTTACTGGCAAGATCTTCGATATTTGGCTTCAAAGAGGTCAAACTCAACCTGAATGGAGCATCCAATTTCAACAAACTGTTCTTAATAACATTTAGTGTTGAAAATGCTGTTTCACAAAGATATGTAGAATTGAAAGGAAGTAGAATTTTCAAGGTTTTTTTGGCTGAGGGTTTGGTACTCATCAAGTAACTTGATCCAAAAGCTTGCAATATTGTCACATTGTATTTTGACAACTTTAAGCTGAGGATCAGAAGATATCTCAATAAGTTCTTCCTGTTCATTAAGTGTAAGATCAATATCTTTGAGTGGTAAAAAAGGATTTGCCACCCACAAGTTTTTAGAACTGACGTCAGAACTGACAGGGAAATAGTTGTCCAAATACCCTTGAAGCGATGCTATGTAAGCCTTTACCAAAGATGACAGCTGTTCTTTATTTATATTCATACCTTCCGTTTCTATTATAAATTGAGAAAACATATTAAACATAGCAAAAGATCCTTTCTCTACTTCAGTTTGCCATAACTTTAACTTTTGTTTGAATGCAGCAATTTTTTTCCACAGATCGAATACTGTGTGTGAGGGCCTTTGAAGACCAAGATTCAGCACATTTATAATTTCAAATATATCAGTTAAAAAAGCAAGTTTAGCCACCCATTGTCCATCCCGAAACACAGCCGCTAGTTCTGGATTATTTTTGTCAAGGAACATACAAACCTCCTCTCTAAGTTCATAAAATCTGGCCAATACACGCCCTCGGGATAACCATCGTACTTCAGTGTGGAGGAGAAATTTGGAATGAAGCGAGCCCATATCATCACAAAGCATAGCAAACACTCTTGAATTAAGAGCTTTGCTCCGGATTAAATTCACAGCCCTTACAACTGTAAGGAGGACTTCATTGAGTTCAGGACTTAACTGTTTGGTTGCTAGCATTTCTCTGTGAATAATGCAGTGTGTTATTTGTACTTCGGTTCCCGCTTCTTTCAGTACAAAGCTTTTAAGGCCTTGTTTGGAGCCTGCCATAGCAGCCGCGCCGTCAGTACACAATCCAACACAGTATTTCCAAGATAGTGTATGCAACTTTAAATACCCATCAACAGCATTAAAAATGTCCCGACCTTTTGTATGACCTGGCAGTTCAATAGATGTCATGTATTCTTCATTTAATTTCTTTTCTTCATGATCAATGTATTTTACATATACCAGTAAAATTGCTTTATTTGTAACATCGGTAGACTCATCTAATTGCAAAGAAAACCACTTAGATTGGTGAAGCTTTATTACGAGTTGGTTTTCAACATTTGCTGCCATCGATTCAACTCTTCTAGTAACTGTATTATTTGATAGAGCTATGTTTTTCATTTTTTTAGCTGACTCTTCACCAAGTACTTCTTTAGTGGCTTCAAAAATACAGGATAAAATTAAATCTTCTATTGTAAATGGTTTTTTTGCTTTTACTATTTTCAATGAAATTAAAAAAGATGCTTTTAAAGCAGCCTTATCCTGAGAAGAATACTGTTTCATTACTTGTTTTGCATTTTTAAGCTGAGTTTCCTTGCGCTTGAAAAAATCCAATGGTTTTTGAACAAGTTCTTTGTGTTTTGTCTCAAAATGACGCATGAGTTTGGCCGGTTTCATAGCTTCATTGCATAAAACCTCTGAACATACAACAAACTGAGACAAATGAACATCTCCATCTTCTTTAAAAGTAAATCCATATTTTAAGTATTCTGGGCTGTACTTACGAGTGGCTGGTTTTCTACTTTTAGGTTCACTTGAAACAAACCTGTCACTAACACTCGTACTAGCACTAGGTCCGGGTTCACTTTCATCATGTGCTCTTTTTAAAAACTTAAACAAATTCACTTGCTTACTCATTGCAGTCTCTCACTCTGTACATACGGTACGTGACACTAGACACTACGACAGACAACTGGCCATGGAACTCAGGAGAAGGTAGACAATGCTGGGCGGGGGTGCGGCTACACAGCGGCTGAGGGGAATGACCGAGCTTGAGAGCCCGCGCTTGAGAGCACAGCTCCGCGCTGTGCCACTGTCACTCCACGCCTAACATCAGAAATAAAAACAGCATTATTCATGTGGCATACTTTCATAACAAACGTATCTCCGAGGATGAATGTCTCATTATATAGCCAGTAAAAACATTGTTATACTCGTATTGATGAAGAAAACCGTGAATTATAAGACGTACTCTGAAACAGCCCGCGGACCACAAGTGGTCCGCGGACCACGGGTTGGGAACCACTGGCTTAAGGCACTCAATTTTGTAGAGGTCAATTATAAGCTAATATGGGATTGCGTGTGTGCCCTAAATAAACTAGGGAGACCGTAGCAAGGTTACGGTAACTTGGGTACCAGGGCACGAGGGTCATAAGGGCCATGAAATGGATAAACAAGGGACATCAATGCCAATCATTGGACCAATCAATATCATTTTATTGTTAAACAATTGGCACCCATTGATCTAGGTGGTTGCTATATTGTTACATACTAATCAAAAATAAAAAAAATCGGGTACTAGGATATAACTTTTATTGATTTAAATTGCTTTTTACGTTTAGTACAGAGAAAAATATATTGCTATGTAAAAATTAACTATACAATGTCCTCTTAACCATCATCAGCAAATTTTCATACCAAAGTATATGTGCATACATATAAAAGATAATGGAATAGCGTGAACCATTTTCTTCTGTATCTACTAAAGTATTGGTGAATCAAGTTGTGAAAAGACTTGACTCTCATGTTAGGTTTAAACTAATCAACTTCCTTTTATTTCTACCATCACTGTTCTCAAAGTATGAATTTATTTTTGTCCTAATTGTTCAGCTCGTTTAGAAGCACATTCTATAGCATCTATAAAAGCTGCCCTAAAACAAGAATAAAAATGAAATAGTAGTATTAACTTTAAAAAGTGTTTTGTGTTGAGCTTACCTCATTCCTCCCTTTTCTAAAGCATGCACACCTTGTATAGTCGTCCCTCCAGGAGAGCACACTTCATCTTTTAGTTGCCCTGTGTGTTTTCCAGAATCCCGTGCCATTTTTGCAGCTCCCAAAGTCATCTGAGCTGCTAGTGCACTAGCTAGATCCCTAGGAACGCCCATTTTCACAGCTCCATCAGCCAAAGCTTCTATGGCCATGTATATAAAGGCTGGTCCACTGGCAGTTAGAGCTCCAGCAGCATTTAAGAGATTCTCTGGTACTTGTTTACAAGTTCCTGTAGCTGACAGAAGTTTATTGACTAATTTCACGTCATTTTCGAAGGCGAGATGACCTGGACTAAATAAGGAACAACCTAAAAGTGAATTTTGTTTAATAATACGGCCTAATCAAAACAAAACAATTTTTTGTATATAAAAAACAATTGATTTTAAATACCAAAACTACTCTACTAGTTTTATACTTTTTTTTAACATCTATGAACAAACTTTCTTCTTGTTTTATACTTGTATAAACTTGCAAAATTGTATTACTTAGTCTTGTTTATTAATTCCACAATATTTCTAGGTAAAAAGTCCTGACAGGACATCAACTTTCTTAAGTTTACAATTAACTTGTTGAAATTGTGTACCTACTTATACAATAGGTTTTTAAAAACTGTAATTTTTGTTTTATTATATACAAATAAAATCTTTATTAATAAGAATACAAACCTTCTCCCACTGTCATAGGTGTATTTGGCATAATTCTAACAATTCTATCCCCTTGAATATTATTAAGAGTAGACTTCAATTGATTTAAAGAGATACCAGCCATGACTGAAAGATACAACTTTGATGGCTGTCTGCTATCACTAGTAGGAAATTCACTGTATATCTGGTCTACAGCACATTGAAATATATGTGGTTTTACACAAATGAATATGACATCTGCTTCCTTCACAACAGTACTATTGTTTTGATATACATGGCAATCTTTTTCTTTCCACCAAGATAAGTGCTCAAGGTGAGGACCAGATACATACACTTGCTGATAAGAAACAAGTCCTAAAAAAATAACAAAGTTTTCAAACAAATTTTTGATATTTTTTAAAGATTTTTGGGTCAACCTTAAATCTAAGTAAGCTGAGTCATTATCAGTTTCAGTTTCTGTATTAGAATTTGTAAATTTTTGCAAATGTGAATTCATTTTCAATAGGCAAAAGAAAAAAATGATTAGTCACAATTGATTTTATTCAGCATATCTATGTTTTATAGACCTGACAAAGGCTTTCAATCGCATCCAAGTCTAATATGTCTTACACCTACTGTATAAAAGAAACATACCAATCAATATTACACAAAGCATCGAAAACATCTACCTCCATAATCGAATACAGGCAAAGATAAATGGAAAACTAACACAGTGTATACCATTACAAAGCGGAGTCAGACAGGGCGACTCATTGAGCTCACTTCTCGTTAATATAATAATGTACGAAATAATACAAGCGATACATAAAGGTCCTGGCTACAGAATGGGGAACACAGAAATCCAAATATTATGTTATGCAGACAACGACGCAGCATTAATCGCCAAGACAGAAGACAAGCTCCAAAGATTAACACATATCTTCAATCAACAGCTAAGAAATACAATATGATAATATCATCAGAAAAAACCAAATGTATGACAACATCTAAATACCCACTAAGGTGTAAAATCGAAATTGATGGGAACATAATAAAGCAGGAAGCAATGTTTAGACATCTGGCAATAGATATAACTAGTTATGGAGATGTTGAAGAAGAAGTACAACAACAAGCAAGTAAAGCGGCGGGTTCTCTTAATGACACAATCTGGAAGAACAAACACCTAAGACAAGACACAAAAACAAGAATCTATAAAGCAGCAATTAGACGTGTATTAACATACACAGCGGAGACAAGACCTGACACATCTAAAATGAGAGGACTGATAGAAACAACAGAGATGAAAATACTCCATCGAATATCAGGTAGGAGTGTGTTGGATAGGGGGAGAAGCGAAAACATAAGAAGAGCATGCAATATAGAAGACATAAATGGATGGGTGACAAAACAAAAACAGGACTGGAACAAACACATCAGTAGATTGGCAGAGGATAGAATAGTATGAATAGCATGAGATAAGTCACCAAATGGACGAAGAAGTATTGGCAGACCAAGAAAAAGATGGTGCGACAATTTAAACAATTTAGGAGGCTAATATAGAAGAAGAAACAGGCTTTAAGGCCTACATACTAGAAGGAAGAAGAAGAAGAAGGTTTTATTAGAATGGGCAACCGTTTTTGGGCTCTACATTTTCAGCTCATCTTCAGGACCCTGATTAAAAGGTAAGTACTTACCCAATAAGGATATAAGGCAATCTATTTTAAAGTAAGCACTCTATTTTCTTGATTTTGGCAGGGCAGTAATTCACCAGTACTACCCTGACAAAATCAAGCAAATAAGAGTATTTAGTTTGCATTGAATCTATGGCCTTGTACAGTTGTTAGTTAAGCTTTTATGGAAAACCTGATAAAAGGTTGCACCAAAGGAAAATAACAATAATAATGAGGCATTTGTAGATAAATACATAATTCTTGGAAATACTATTTCAATCAAAATCTTACTAGCTTTAGGAAATATCAACAAGTGGAATGTTTATACATTTGTTACCAATATTTTAAGTGATAATTTTTGACGTTTTTTTTTCTGCAAAATTTTTACTACTTTTATATACAATTTATTTAAAATCATTACCTTTTGTGACAATTCCTTCACAAATAGCTTTGGCCATATTTCCTCCTCCTATAAATCCTATTTTTTCGGTTAAGTCTGGCATGTTTGCAGTAGGAGACACGTTTATTCAATTAAAGTAAAACTGCTTTAAAGATTCTTCCAATTTGTTATTTTATTTTTTATTTATAATTACACAAAAACATGATAAGCTATCCTGCCAAATTTGAACATTAACACAAAAACATTCCTAACCGCAATCAAGATTCAAGAAAGGAATAAACAAATTTAACCACCTTCATCGAGGCAACACAGATTACAGAGTATTTATACAGGTTGTCGCAAGTTATTATAAAAATGTTTGATTGTGTAAAATTTTTAGGGTTAGTTCTTAGAATCTTGCTAGTTCTTCTTGAAATATCTTTATTATCGTCGGATGTCATTACAATGTAAAATTTTTGAGATATTGTGTGGTTTGTAAGTTGTAACATAGTGCATCGGTGTATCCATTTGTAGATTCCGATTTGAATTATTTTTTTCTTAATATTACAAATGTTTTTTTCCCTTAAGACACTCTCTTTAAGAAGAGAAGCCAAAAATGACAAATATAAAACCATAAATATATTATTATAAACGAAGGAAAAAGAAGCAAGGGAAAGATGCGAAGAAATTGAGACTATGCAGTCAAAGTAAGATATTTACAATATACAGAGGAAAGTTAAAGAACTCACAGGGCGACTAAGATGAAGGCAGAAAGAAAATTTCTGCCTTCTTCTCAGAAGAATGAATAAGAACCGAGAGGTACTGACCACCATCAAATCTCGAAAGCTACAATTCTTCGGACATATTATGCGAAATGAATCCAGATATGCTCTCCTTCAAGTCATCCGTTAAGGAAAAATATTTGGAAAACTAGGTCCAGGAAGAAGAAGAACATCTTGGTTAAAGAACCTCATAATCTGGTTCAATACAAGATCAAGACAAGAAGACTCTATTTAAGTTTCCTTTCCATATATAGTAGGCATGGGTTCGTGATTGGTTTTCCATTTCCGTTCACGTCCATTCACGATTATTGAGAAATTATTGAGATAAGTCCCGTAACGTAAACCGACGCAACTGATGCAATGGGCGGGGGAACATCCAATCCAATTGTAGTGTGTCACGCACACATTCTGGTCTCAACAGGCTACTTACGCTCACGACGGTCACGTCATGATTCGTCGTAAATATGACTCTTCCCAGCCGTCGACGTCGATGTTCAACGTCGACGATTATTACGGATTAAAGTATGGTTTAGGGGTTTTTACCTGCAACAAATCTATTTTTGCAAGTAATGTAGACTAATAGCCAGGAAAATGCCAGGAAGAGCCTATCCACGAAAGCCAGAGCGAAAAATAGGGGGGAATGGAGACTAATTCTTGAACAGGCCAAGATCCACCCATGGTGGTAGAGCCAAAGATGATGATGATGATGATTTATACGATTATTGTAGCTTTATTTAAGGTAAAAACGCCGTGTTACTTTTATATTTTAATGCTATTTAACATGTAATACTTAAAATGATTTTTTTAGGTGTGGCGATGGTGTCAAAATATCAGAGAAAGAGTCATTAGCAGTCGTGGGACCCCACAGCGATGCAAGGAGTAATCGATGCCTTGAAGAACGATGGAATGCCTTATAAAACGGATGCTAAAACTTACAATGTGCCTAGGAACACACTAAAACGTCGCGTACTAAATAAAAATCAAGACGCCACTGAAAATAAAAAAGTATTAGGTCATTTTCTAGCTGTTTTCAATGAAAAACAAGAACAACAGTTGGTAAATTATCTCTTGGAAAAGAAGTAAGCTTTTTTGGAATTACTGTAGCTGCGGAATTTGCGCAGCCTTGCTTACCAACTGGCTGAACGGAATAACATCTCCCATGGTTTCAATAAAGAAACTAAATTAGTAGCAGCTGGGGGAGTTTTTATTCCTTCTTTTATCATCTTCCCTAGACAGCGGATGAAAGTGGAACTTCAAGACGGCGCTCCACCTGGAAAAGATTTGTTTGTCATCCTTAGGATGGATGCAAACTGAGATTTTCACACAATGGTTTGACCATTTCTTGAAGACGACCCAGTTTTGCTCATACTTGATGGACATTCCACCTATACAAAAAATCTAGATTTCACTGAAAGAGCTAGAGAAAATCGCACAACTTTAGTTTGCATCCCCCCACTGTAGTTATAGACTGCAGACACTCGATGTTTCATGGGGGCCTTCAATACTTATAAGCGATCGAAAGATTCTTGCCTAATAATCCTGGTAGATTAGTGACACAGTATCAGATATCTAAACTTCTTGGAGAGGCATTTTCATTTGCAGCTACTCCAACTATTGCGGTAAAGGGATTTGGAAAATGTGGCATAGTTCCTATAAAGAGACAAAAGTTTACTGATGCGGATTTTGCTGCAGCAATGACCACAGAAATTTCTGTGCAAGATTCTATCCCTTCAAGAATGTGAAAATCAAGAACTGGGTATTGAATACCAAGAGAAAACTTCTGCTGTGGTGCAGTAGATATTATATTGTGGTGCAAAATACTGTTACGATAGCCTTGCTATGTCCCTGATATAAAATACTCGAGTATTCGAGTATGCAGGTGTCTGACGACAGTTCGAGATTAAAAGTAGCGGCGACCAAGAAATTTCTAGTGAAATCTGGGGCCTTTAACAAAATATTGTTACGATTTTAAATGTTATGGCGTATAGAACTGTAAATGTTTTATGACTAATTCTTTTTTATTGATTCTCGTAATTTCTAGGTCAAAAATCTACCTGACACCCTTTGGGTCCCTTCGCTAAAAATGAACAACAATCGAACTTTCTGGGGACGAGCCGATGAAAAACATACCAGTTTTGAGACCAGTCGCTGCTCTGTCTAGTCGAGAATGCCATCGAACCTTCGGCGATGTTCCATTTTAACACCTGATTTCATATAAATAACGGAAGATTTTCATTGAGCGGGCAGTCAACAAGAAGATCGCGATCTCGCGTTAAATTGTTCGAACGCAAATAAATTATTTGTAATTATTAAGTGTAAAATAAATTAGTAGGTATAAAATAAAAACTTTTGATAAATTATCGTGAGTTTTAATAAATTAGAATAAAGACAATAAATTAGGAATAAATAAAAATATTATAATATTTATAAAGAAAAGATTAAATTGTAGAAGTCAGTCGACAAAATAAATTTATAGGGTTAAGTAAATAAATGTTATAAATTATTTGTGCTAGTGTCAGATAGCTAATAAATTAAAATAAGTGTTAGAATATTGTAAATAAATTAAAATAAAAGTTACAATACCTTTGCATCGTAAATTTTTGGTTGAAATGTTCTATTTTTATTTTTTGTCCTAATTTTTTACTTCTTTATTTTGTTAATTTTATTTATTTAAAATTGCACACCAGTATCATGCCTTAAGAGTCTGTACTTTATTGCATAAAAACAAAAATGGAATTACCTGCGTAGTATGGGAGCTTTAACCTGAATATTTTTGTGGACACTTAATATCGATTTATTACTGTGCGTAATTATTTTCCTACGCACAGTAACTTAAATCCCTGTGTTCTGTTAATGAATAATCTAATCATAAACATTAATAAAACTACATAATATACCACCCTTACATAATATTTACAAAAATAACGCAGTAGTACATCCTAAAAGAAGTTAAATGTGATAATAAACAATATCAATTTATAGATCGTGTTATAATATGTTTGTTGACGAGTAGTTTCTCCTATAATTCAGTAAACACAGATAAATCAGTACTGTCAACAATTCTCGACTTTCATACAATGAAGAAATACAGTCTTGAATACAGGTAGCGTTTATTGAACGCTATGCTATGATTATAAAAAGGAAATACGTCACGTTTGTATGATTGATATGGAGCGAGATGAGTTTATTTGAAGCAGTAAAACGAATCTTTTTTCTTCTCGTTTTGGTCGAAAATTAAATCAAGTACAAAAGTTCAAATTTTATGCATTGTATTATTATTATGTATATACATACAGCTGGTTCCTAAAAAAAACTGATACGACTTTTAGTAAGATTTGATCATTTTGAGCAGTGTATTTGATTGTTCTTACACTATGTTATAGTTATTATGATAGACAAATAATAAAAGAATGGTAATAATGATTAAGGTCTAAATTTTATACTAAGACAGTGTAAAAATAAATATGGACTACAAATGAACGTTAAGAAAACCAAGTCCATGATTATTTCTAATAGTAACATACAGTAGAAAGACTAGATATCGAGAAAAAACAAGTAGAAAGAGTGGATAACTACAAATATTTGGGAACCTGGGTAAATGAAAACAATGACCAAGTTACAGAAATAAGGACATGCATTGAAATTGCAAGACTAGCGTTTATAAAAATGAAAACAATGTTTGTTAATTGAGACTTTCCTATAGAGCTGAGGATAAGAGCCTTAAGATGCTACGAGTTGTAGATTTTTTTGTATGGAATGAAAAGCTGGACACTAAAAGTGGATAGTATAAAGAAGTTTGAATCATTTGAGATGTGGTACTATAGAAGGATTTTGAAAATACTACGGACCCAACAAAGGCAGAAGTGCTCAGGAAGGCTACAAATCAGGTCATAAAGCAGATCAAAACAAGAAAGCTGGAATAATTAGGCCACATTATCAGAGGTGCGAAATATGAGATATTTAGGCTCATAATGCAAGGTAAAATTAAGAGTAAAAAATTTATAGGAAGACGAAGACTTTCCTGGCTGAGAAACCTAAGAGAGAGGTAGTATAGTTGCAGCTGAGTGGATCTTTTCAGAGTAGCTGCCAATAAGGTACGGATAGCTTTGATGATAGCCAACCTCCGATAGGAGAAGGAACTACAGGAAGAAGATCAACAATGCACAAGAAAGAGAGGAGTGACAAAAACTTATTGGGGCTTACTTTCAGCAGTGGACAAGGTTTTTTAGATAGATATTGAATATTCTTCTTTATGTGCCGTCTTCTACCAAAGGTTGGCGACCATCAAACGATAGGTTTCTCTGTTTTGTGCTGCATGTATTATATTCGCAGCCTCTGGTATTTGAAATCATTCTCTCAAGTTTCTCAGTCAGGATTTCTTCTTTCTG